GACCATATTAAGGATAGTCCTATTTTTTCTTTCTGAGACACCATTTTGTTGAGGTGTGTATGGCATGGTGAATTGATGTAGAATTTTATTATTTCTACAAAAACTTTCAAATTCATTTGATATATATTCTTAAACATTTAATCTTACAACAACTTTGTCTTTCAACCAAATTCTTAAATTTTTTAAATTTTCTTTAAAAAAATTTCTTTTCTTTTAACATGTAAACCCAAGTTTTACCACTATGATCATTAATGAAGGTAAGAAAATACCTGCTTTCTCCAAATGATACTGGATTGATAGGGTCACAAACATTTGAGTGCACTAGATTAAGTCGATGACATGCTCTTTTTGTTCTTCTGACTTTGAATGGTTTCTTTCTTGCTTACTCATAGCATATACTTCACATAATTTTGATAGGTGATCAATTTTTGACATTCCTATCAACATATTATATTTCTCTAGAAGTTTCAAAGCCTCCAAATTTCAGTGAGCATATCTAAGATGCCAAAGTGTAGAAATATCCTCAATATAAGCTTTAAAATAATTTGATTAATAAAAAATACTTAAATGCAGAGGAAACATTCTATTCTTTGTTATTTTCACATGTGATATCATTGTTTTATTTTTATCATGAATTAAGAGAGCTATATCTTTCATCTCAGTATCATAATCTTTTTCAAGTATTATCCCAAGCTTATAATATTATTTTTCATATCAGGAACATAATAAACATTTGAAATGTATAATTCTTTGCCATTATTAAGTTTAAGGAGAATTTTACCTTTGTCTTTTACTGGTATTTGAGACAAATCATCAAATGTAATATTCCTGAAATAACTTGTATCCATTTCTGAAAATAGCTCTTTGATGCCATATATGTGATTTGAGGCTCCTGTATCTAGATACCATGTCATAGACTGATCCTCTTTCAAATTATCATAACTCATTAACAAAACTTGATTTTCATTCTTTTCTTCCTCAATAAAATTTACCTTATCACCTTGATTGTTAGGATTATAATAATATTCATAAGAGTAATGTCCATACCTTTTGCAAATATAGCATTGTATTTTAGGCATTTTAGAATTTCTGCTACGTCCACGGTCTTGGCCACGTCCTCGACTATAACCTCGGCCTCTTTGGCTAGAATTTTCTCCAACATCTTCATTGTTTGGAGATTCTTGATTGGTCTGATTTCTACCTCCTTTTCCTCTTTGTCCTTATCCTCTTCCTCTTTGAGAATTTGATTTACCTTTCTTTTCAAAAGCAAGCTTAGTTTGTAGTGCTTGCTCCATAGTTACGTTTTCTCCTCTTTTTGTAATCCTTTATTCATGAACTTGAAGGGAACCCATAAGTTCTTCTAAAGATATTTTTTACAAATCTTTAGATTCTTCAATCATAATGGCAATAAAATCAAATTTTAGATTTAGAAATCTTAGTATTTTTTCTATTACTCTCTAATCATTTATTTGTCCACCATTTCATCTTATTTGATGAACAATAGAAATGATTTTTGAGAAGTAATCAGAAATAGTTTCAGAAGTTTTTTTCAAACTCGTCTTCAATCTTAGTATATTTTCACACATAAAACTTGTAGACGAAGTTTCTTTACCTTATTAACACCACCGAATGCTTTTTGAAGCATTTCCCAAGCCTCCTTTGAAGTATTTGCTGGAGCAATGATCTTGAACATTGTATCATCAAGCCCTTGGTAGATCGTGAACAAATCCTTTTTCTCCTTCTTTCTTTTTTCTTTGAGTTGTTTTCTTTTTTCTGCATTCATTGTTCTTTCTTCTACTAGACTTGATTCAATAAATCCATCTTCTACAAACTCTCATATATCTTGGGAGCCTAGAAGAACCTTCATTTGGATACACCATATATCATAATTTTCTTTTGTTAATCTGGAAATCTGGAGTTGAATGGTACTTGAAGAAGAGGAGGTCATAGCTTAACCTATGCTCTGATACCAAATGTTAATCTTGATAAGAAGAAGGGATAGAGTTTTTGAAATTATAAAGAATTTTCTTGAGAGAAATATAGAAGATTGAAGTTTGTCCTACTCTTCCTCTATTTGATAACTCTATTTCTTCTTCTTATCAAGATCAACAAGAAGTACGTCAAAAATAATAATAATAATAATTATAATAATAATAATAATAATAATAATAATAAAATTTTGAAATATGGAAATGATGTATGTAATATATAGTTTGCTGGTATTTTTAGAAGATCAAGAAATATATAAGGAATCAAAAAATAAAAAAGTAAAAAAATGGTTCACATGATCTCATATCCCAGTGGAAAATTTTATTCTAAAGACATGGTCAACTTTGTATAGGAAAGCTAACTCATCGCGCGTCACAAGTGGTGACTATTGATGAAGAAATAAGAACTTACCTACCATTTATTTTGATTATTCTACCGTAATATTAGGATTGATTACTCGTATATTAGATACTATTCATTTTTGGTACATACACGTTCCCTTCACATCTACTCTTCAATCGAACGTGACGTGCTTCTTTAATTATATGTAAATCACCACATTCATTACGTCTTCCTACGTTAATACAAGCAGATAAAGGAACCGAGCGCAAGACATTACGTCATCATCTGACGCACCCTCCCTCTCGCGGAAGAAGAAGAAGACGAGGAAGGCTGGGATTCTTGCGCCAGCGTACAGCGTTTCTCGAAACAACACAGACTGAGATTGTGGGACGGGGTCGTGGTCCCACCACCAACGTGAAGGGTAATTCGGCAAACCCTGATCGAGGCAGCGCAAGATAGGCCGATGACTTCGTCTCCAAGTATCCACCGCCCAGCGTAGCGTTTGGTCTGCGTGACGAAGAACAATCAACTCAACAAACACACCATGACGAACGTTCAAAGGTCACACGGCCGTCTCCATCAGTGGCTCTACTTCACACCATGACTACACTGATCCCATCTCTATAAAGGACGGTCCGTGCTGCCCGTTTGATAACCCACGGAACAATTGCCTACTTCCGCTATGGCGACGCTGAGCGATCAGTGGGCGAGCCTGGGCTCCCTCGCGGCCAGCATCATGTTCCTGTGGGCCGTCGTCGGCCGCTACGTCCCCCTCCACCACCTCGAGCACTCCATCACCAAGCACTCCCGCCGCCTCTTCGCCTTCGTCTACCCCTACGTCCAGGTCACCATCCCCGAGTTCTCCGGCGAACGCATGAAGCGCAGCGAGGCCTACACCTACATCGAGGCCTACCTCAGCAACTCTTGCTCGCAGAACGCCAGCAGGCTCAAGGCCGAGCTCGGCAAGGACAGCGGCAGCCTCACGCTCAGCATGGACGAGCACGAGGAGGTCACCGACGAATTTGAGGGCGCCAAGCTCTGGTGGGCCTCCGTGTCTCGCTCTCCTCCCTCGCAGTCCATCTCCTGGTACCCGCCGCCCGATTCCCGGCGGTACTATAGGCTGACCTTCCATCGCCGCCACCGCGATCCCATAGTCGGGCAGTACCTCGCCCACGTGCTGCGTGAGGGGCGCGAGGTGGGGCTCCGGAAACGACAGCGCAAGCTGTACACCAACAACCCCAGCAACGATTGGTATGGGTACAAGAGAACGGTGTGGAGCCACGTCGTGTTCGAGCACCCGTCCACCTTCGACACGCTCGCCATGGATCCCCGGAAGAAGCGGGAGCTGATGGACGACCTGATCGCCTTCCGCAACGGCAAGGACTACTACACCAAGATCGGCAAGGCGTGGAAGAGGGGCTACCTTCTCTACGGCCCGCCCGGAACCGGAAAGTCCACCATGATCGCCGCCATCGCCAACTTCCTGGACTACGACGTCTACGACCTGGAGCTGACCTCCGTCAAGAACAACACCGAGCTGAGGAAGCTGTTCATCGAGACGACCAGCAAGTCCATCATCGTCATCGAGGACATCGACTGCTCGCTCGATCTCACCGGCAAGCGGAAGCGCACCAAGAGCAAGAAAGAGGACGAGGGAGGCGACGACAAGCCGAAGGTGCCGGGGGAGAAGGAGGACAAGGAGGAGAGCAAGGTGACGCTCTCCGGGCTGCTCAACTTCATCGACGGCCTGTGGTCGGCCTGCGGCGGGGAGCGGCTCATAATCTTCACCACCAACCACGTGGAGAAGCTGGACCCGGCGCTGATACGGAGGGGGAGGATGGACAAGCACATCGAGCTGTCCTACTGCCATTTCGAGGCGTTCATGGTGCTGGCCAAAAACTACCTGGACATCGACTCGCACCCGCTGTTCGACACCATCAAGGGGCTGATGGAGGAGGTGAAGATGACGCCGGCGGACGTGGCGGAGAACCTGATGACCAAGTCCGTGAAGGACGATGCCGGTTCGCGCCTCGAGGGCTTGATTCAGGCACTGGAAATGGCCCGGGGAGCGGCGGCCAAGGCAGACGAAGGCAGTGGCGTGGACGAGACCGTGGAGAGCGAGTAGATCGCATCGATACTTTGTCTTGTCGTTTGTGGTCGTTCCTTTCGGATCCGGGTTGGACTCCGATCCGATCCGGCATCTTTTACTATGACAAAGGAACAATAGGATTCCAACTCGTCAATTCAATTATATTTGAATAATATTGGGGTTACGTTGACCAAGTCATATATATATATATATATATATATAGTTGATTAATGAAATGGTAATTTAATGAAGTTGACATTTGTATATGATTAAAGAGTTCCAACTCTGGGATCTATCTAAATTTGAATATCATCCAAATTAGTGACATTAGGTTCATTACGTCAAATTGCATGATCAAGGATATTAATAGATTATATTTCTATCAGGGTTGATCTTGTGCAATCCCAAGATATTTTTTTATCATCTTAAAGATCAAAACTCGCATCATAGAAAATTTTATTGTATATTTAGAAATAAGATTAATTGGATTTCTCAAGAATTATATATATATATATATATATCCTATTTATTTAAGTTAGATTAAAGTATTATCGATAACTAAGAAGAACATAAATAAAAAATAAGCACCGGAGTCATATTCAAGACGACAAAAGATAGGATGAAAAATGTCTCAGATCTATCAGCAATTTATACTTACTGTAGCAATGCATCAAACTTCTTGTTGAAGGCAAAAAGAACATGTTATCATCACGTTGTCATCTTTGATAACAACGGCAAAAAAAAATACTATCGTAATTTTTGGTCAAACAAGGGCAAGTAAACATGATGAGTCGGTGATACCTGTTAGCGTGATCCACTTTGTCTCTTCGTTTCTTTTCTTCTTCTTTCCATCTTCGATAGGACGCTCCTTGTCTCTTTGTTTCCGTTTCTTATGTCAACCTCCAAGATTCCTCTGCCTGTGGAAGCCAAGTCAAAGTTGGCAGTGCTCGTGTGTACACGGCAAACGAAGCGTATTCCGTCGAAGACTCTGCAGATGACTAAAGAGCTCAGCAAGAAGGAACGGCACACCACGTAACTCAACCACAATAAGAAAACATGGCAGTAGTATGCTATAACATCAGCATCTACTTGTATCATTTACTGAACAAGATAGTACTAAAAATAGTGAAGAACTCATTGGATTTTAGTGTATCAAAATGGTTCAAAAAATAAAATTGGGTTTGCAATTGCAAGTTTTAGCAATCATCGTTTGTATCTACATAATTTGGTTTGGTTTGGTTTAAGGGGGTGGTGTTTCAATGTCTGAGACTCCTGTTCATACAGCTCTAGAATCCTACTTCCGTTTGACAAAAGAAGAAAAAATAAAATATAAGAGAAAAAGGACAAGTAGAAATAATATAAAATTTATTTATTTTGTAAAATATGTTCTACAATTAATATGACATAACATTAGTAATAAATAATGAAATAAATAGTAGCACTATTATTTGAATGTTGATTAAAAACCCACCATCCAACTGTGTGATGATATTGTTCAAATAATAACATCATCATCATTATTGTTATTATTATTTAATGCCCATATGAATGCACAAAACAAGAAAAGAAAATTCTCTTCAGTATGGATTGATAGATGGAAGGGAAAAAGAAAAGGCATCAAGAGACAATGAAAAAGAAAGAAAGAAATAAATAGAGGAAATAGGAAAACAAATATAAAGCAAAGTAGGGAGAACAATGATAAATTTTTCTCTTTCCTCAAATATATTATATATTATATGTGTTAATACATCTACTATATCATAACATTTATATGAAGTAAAAGAATTATAATCATAATTTGAATGTTTTTCATTAAAAATCTATTGATCTAATCAATTGATTCACCAACTTAATTAGTAATTTTACAATCCAAGACTTGGTAAGGTCGATTTTCGGTTATGATAACTATGAAGAAAAAAAAAAACTCCATCATGTAATTATTCCCTCCCAACCTCGTTTCTCGTCTCAAACATATATTTATAGTACTTATTCATCATTATTAGGGATGATATCAATAAAGGAGGGGTGAGAAATGATGGTGGAAAACAATGGTTGATATGGGCTATATAAGAAGAGACAAATGGAATGGGAATCAATAGAGCCAATTAGATCGAGATGATAAGAACATGAATAATGTACAAAAAATTGTGTATCTATATAAGCATGTATGGATCCAGATGAGTCAACCTGTCACTCATATGATCTAACTCCAGGTTTATACTGTTAGATGCAATGACATTGATAAAAAATTTAAAAGTTACCAGAGTCAAATAAGATCCAAGTTTGCAACCGCAGTGGTACTGTGCTGGAGATGGCACCAAAATGCCTTAGCCCAAACAGTTCAAATGTGATGCTGGAGACTGAGTGCTCACTGAAGAACAAGTGAAGGCCAGTAGACATGACTTCGTGACCTGCACTCATGTCTGCAAGTGTTAGGAGAGCTGTTCAAGGAAGTAATCAGAGATGTTCCATATGTTTTAAAGAGAAACCAAACTATTTGTGCCCAAAACTGCTGAATTCAACAGAACCTCCTACTTGGTCAAGAACAGCAATCACAACTACTTGAGGCCATGGACAGTGTCAGGTTGAAGTTCAGTACTTTGTCAGGTGCAACAGGGTCATGCTTCATGAGATTATTACCTGCAGCTGTTATAGCAATGAGTGGAGAAGCATCAAGAAATATTTTCTTGGACCCTCCAGCTCTGCTGTGAACTTGGCAAAGGCACCAACAATGATGTGAAAAGAGTTGGCAGCAACAGCAACGCAAGCATCCAGTATGAAAGAGCTTAGGTTGCAATTGAGCATCGTCCCACTTAGTCCCAGGAAACCCTACATACATAGAAAAAAGTTTTCTTAAATCACAGAGGTGCTGAATTGATAAAATGGAACATTTATTCTTTGAAACTGAAGGTGCAGAGATGTAGGATGATAACAATAGCTAGAACAAATGAACCATAATTTTGTGAAACTCGTACAAGATGATAGTGCATATATGCTAAATTGAAAGATGTAAAGCAAAACATAGTCCTCCATTCAACGAAGTTTGCATCAACTCCCAACAGCTGGTTCTCATAAGCTTTAGAGTTTAGTACATCTTTTCAATTAGTTGCACTATTTACTTAGTTCCCAATTAGATGGATCTTGGTCTGCAATATCTTACCAATTTGAAGAGCCTTGATAAGATCTAAGAAATAGATTTCAGAAAAGGATGGCACTATGTATTTAGTTCCCAATTAGATGCATCTTGGTCTGCAATATCTTATCAATTTGGAGAGATTTGATACTAAGAAATAGATTTCAGAATAGGGTACTCTGAGGACTAATGGAAGGAGAGAAAACAAAGAAGATAAAAAATGGATGATCTAGCATGCAAATTTCCAGAATGCAATCACACTAAATGATGCCTAAATAAAATTGAGGCCATGAATATGTTCTGTCTAGCCAGAGACATGCAGAAGATCACATTTTATTGTCTAACAGAGAAAAAAAACTAGAAAGAACATGCACTTGGTTCTGGCATAGCTATGAAGACATATAACTGGCAAGGGAGGAAAGAAAATAACTGCATGGACTCAACTCAATGTATATGCATGGTTGTTTTGATCAGAATAGCTATTCACTAGATAGAACCTATAAATAAGTATAAAAACATTTAGAATAAAAACAGTTTGTAAGATTTATAACATCAAAATTTGCTGCCACAAATAAAAGGTCTATAAGCATACAGTAATCTAAGCACTTTATCTAACAACATACGGGAAGATCTCTTCTACAAAGAGCAAATTCACTGAAGTCAAGATAACTGCAGCAAGGGTACTTCAACAACATAGATTCGAATAACTAGTTAGACATTTTCTGAAACTAAACTTAACATATCAACCATATTCAATAAATTTATACCAAAGAAGGCAATGTTCATACTGTAAACATAAAGAATATAGACTTATAAGATGAGAATTTTATATTATCCAACTCAGGAGAATCACTGTCCTCACATGTCAATAGATCTAGGACACATCAGATACTTTGGCTACATATGGTACTGTGAGGGCAGTAATTCTTGGTTGTTATTTTGTTCATAGTGTTATTTTCTTCTTTCTATTTGTGAAACCAACAATACATGTTCCGAAGAGACATTGATAAATATCTTCTTAATTAATACCATTAAAATTGATTAAAACAGGTAAGACACTTGTTCAGAAAGAGACATTAAAATTTTAATACCATGACTCCATCCTTTTTGCCTTTTCAAATTATCAGAAACCTTAGAAGATAGACCAGAAAAGGCATATTTAAATGACAATCCAGCATAATGCAAAATATTGCCATCGATCAATCAAACAAGCTGTGCAAGTTTAGCTTGGCAAATAACACAGTAGTTGATAAAAGATGAGGTTTCAAATTTGTCCAAAGTAAGGTATATAATACCGTATCGTACCGATATTTCAAGGTTGGCTCGGTACGGTACGGTACCAGCATACCGAGCGGTACACCAAGGCATACCGAACGGTACATCAGGGCTTACCGAGCGATTTCCTCTTACTGTAGCAATGTTACAGTATATTACTGTAGCACTGTAGCACGGTCCGTCCGATAGCAGGCGATCCGCATACCGGTATGTCATCGGACCGGTACGTACCGCCCGTACCGAGAATATCATTCAAAATTGCATACCATGATCCAAAGTACTTAAGTAAAGATAAAAACTTCAGACATAAGAAGCTAACTTAAACTTGCTTAAACAAAAAAAAGCAAGAAGTTTACATCACTGAGTAATATTGATGTATTTAAATAAAGTGGTCAGTGATTAAAAATTTATGTAAACAACTGTCCGTGACTAAAGCAGCACATGTAAATGCTCACTAGAGATACAACAAGACCTATGTCTAAGTAAAATTTGCAACCTTCTGATCCTTCCAACATCTACCAGTTATGCTCATTTAGAGGTGATCTTTTACCAGAAACCAGTTGTATGCTGTTCTTTAAAGAAATATACTTCCTATCATCAATTATGTCAGAGTTGAACGGATATTTCTTATCAAATTTTGTGACAGAATTCTCATCTTCAGCTTTCTGCAAGACCTCATCCCAGTTTCTCATCAGCTCTTCATCTGCATGATACATCATGCCTATCATATTGTTGAACCCCATCATCTGTTGAATCAACTCTTCCTTTTCTGATAAGAGCTTTGCATTTCTGTTATGAAGGGCCTCTATGTTGTCCTTGAGTTTTCCTAATTGGTCCACCAAAGTTCTTTTCTCAATCTGCAAGAAATTTAGTTCATCCAGTACTTGAACATGCTTCTTCTCATTTTCCAAACTTTGCATGGACAGTTGAACTTTAAGTTGTTCTATGCAATTCTTTGAATTTAATGATGAAATTTCTTCAGACTTCAAGTTCAACAGCAGCATGTTAATCTCCTTTTCCAGTTCAACAGCAAAGATGCTTTGGAACTTGGACTCTTGCTCCATTAACACATAAGTCGCAGCCATATACTCCAAATCATCAAGAAGTGAGTGGATCTCAAGTTGCTTGTCTTTGAGTTGAGAATCAGTGGTCGCTTCCACAGAACATGTAACATCTTCTTCAAGCGAAAGAACATCATGCAGAAGTCCAGTGATACTCTTGTCATAATCTTCCATGACTTGTAAATACTTAAATATTTCTTGCTCGAACGTCATCAAAATTGTAGTTTCGCTTGATATGAACTTTTCTTCCAGCTTATTAATTAGCCCCTGGGTTTCTTTCAGTCTCCTATGACTGTATTTTGCAAATTCAAGAAACTTCTTCTCTGTTTCAGAGAATTTCTTAACTTCTGATTTAAACAGAGAGGCAAACTTAGACTCTATTCTTCCATTATCTTCCTCAACTAAGACCACATGTTGCTTGAGCTCTTCTATTATCTTGTCTTTCTCTTTTGTCAGTTCAAGAAGATCCTCCTTTACTTGCCTGAGTTTATTTTCAGCTTCCATCTTGGCAACAATTGCAAAATCCAAATTTTTTCTAGTTGCTTTGTTTTCATCTCTGTAGTTATTCAATTCAGTTTCTAAATCAAGCTTGATTTTCTCCATAATGGAAGTTTTCTGTTGCAGTTCACATTGCATTTTACTCAGTTCAGTCGTTTTCTCAGCAAGAGCATAGTTTGCTCTATCCAGCTCATCTGATGCACTTCGAAGGTCATCTAAGATGTGGATTTCCTTCTTAGAAGCCTGTTCTTTTATGTAACCAAGATTCCTGTATGATTCTTCAAGCATCCCTCTGCATTCCTCCAGCTCTTTCTCCAGCACACCATTCTTTTGAGCGACAGTTTCTAGATAGTTAGCCCTTCTCTGCAATGACTCAAATGCATCATGTTCTTTTTGTGTCTCAGCTTGTGCTTGAATAAGAGCAGTGTTCTTATCCGATTGTCCCATCAAAACATCAAATTTCCCTGCATATATTGCATTATGCTGTGACATCTCAAGTTTTAAGTTCTCAATAACTGAGCAAGACTTGGAAAACTTCGATTCAACCAACAAAAGAACGGTTGCTATCTCTTCAATATCCAACTTCTGTTGCATTAATAAAGACTGGCAGTCTTCCAACTCAAGCTGCAAATCCAAAAGCCGCTTATCTTTCGAATTTAATTGGCAATGACAATCATCCAAATCTTTTTCTAGCTTCACTACGTGGGTCCTCCATTCAATTTCTTTGGCTTTCAGCTTCTCAGAACATCTCCTGTGGGCATGCTCCAGAGCTCGAAATTTGTTTCTTAGAGTCTTCAAGGAAGAAGCAGTATCAGCTTCAATTGCTTGAGCATCTTGGTATTCTCTCAAAGATGTTTGCAGCTCCTGATTTTCTTGTTCGAGGTGCGCACTCTTGAATTCTATCTCTTTAATGAGTGTACTCTTAGTAGCCAAAGAAATCCTTAAGGAGACGATCTCCTCATCTCTTTTTTCTGTCAATGCCTCAATTGTTGATCTAGCTTCTTCGTATTCTGAGAAAATGTTGTCATACAATGCTTTCGATTCAGAAATCTGAACTTCAAGCAGCTTCCTTCGACTCTCCTCATGGGCCAATGCTTGGTTGCACATCTTCAGCTTGGAACTCAGATCTTCAATGACTACAGCTTGAGAATCAAAGTTCAATTGCAAAGTTTGAATCTTGTCGACCAAAGTAGATCTCTCCAATCCCCACAACTTCTTGGCCACCCGAAACTCATCTTGAAGTTTACCATGTGCTTCTTCGAGATGCATAAATTGTTCCATTTTCCATTTTAGTTGATTCTCAACATCCATTTTCTCCTCCTCTAATTTCTGCAGCATTTCTCCTCTTCGTCTCACTTCTTTAGAAGCCTGAGCTCTAAGCTCTGCATCAGAGCACTGCTTCTGAGACTTGATCAGAAGACCATTGAGCCCTTTAATCTCTTCCTTGTAGGAACATATTTCTCTCTCCTGTTCTTCCAATTTTGTGTTCGCTTCATCCAAAGCCGAGGCAAGCTCTCTATTTCTCCCTTCCAAATCCATCAGCTTCTCCCTAGTACTGACCCTGAGGCTCTCGTTCAGGAGAGCTAGCTGCTTCAGAGCAGACTCCTTCTCCATTAACCGAGATTCAAGATCCTCGTACATTTTCTTGGACAAGGAAATCTCCTCCACCCTTCCATCAATCTCTGCAGACTGCTTCTCAATCTGTGCCTTCGCCTCTTGGAGCCGAGCAAGTTGCGCTTCATGGGCTCGCCTCAAGTTCTCGGACAACTCAGACTTGGCCCGGTATTCTTCTCTGAGGGTCTCCATTTCAGACCTCAAGTCCTCCAATTTTCTGCACACTTCTTCCATCTCCAGTTTAGCTATGATTCTTGATCTCCGACCTAAAATAATTTGTCACAGTTCTTTAGTCACAGGAGGAATCCATTGAACTTATAGAAAGAAATTTTCCTCAAATTGCATCAGACAAATAAGGAAAAAAGCAACACACATACTACAAGGCAACACATCACAGTAATTTTGGCTCTGCCGCTGCTAAACGGAAATTACAAATTAATTCACCGGAACAAAGTTCCGGATCACCAAAGCAACGAGAAAGTTTCTCATTTTGGAAATCGTCAGAAGCGGTCGCGAAAGGTGAACGGATGAAACTCCAGAAAACACAGCGTGAACAATGCGTCAACCAAATTAAGGGCAAAGCAGTGAGAACATCCAAAACGAAACACATTGCAGCAGCATTAATTCTTTCATTAAATAGAGATAGTAACCACAACGTATTCATCAAAACAACGCGAAAGGGTTCAAAAGAATCCCATTTTGCACAAAGAAATCAGAAAGGAAGGTCACAACAAATAAATAGATGAAATCCAAAGAAACAAACTCGAAAGTAAAACGCGGATCTAGAGATTAGGATGATAAACAGATCCAACACGTTCGACATTGCACGCAGATCGTGAAAATTTTCGTCTTAAAGAGCAAAGAATCTTTTCAATGTCGTGTTTGAGAATCAAAAAAGAGAAGAAAAAAAAAAGGAAGGCCTGGTGTTGGGTGAGGAGGAGGAGGAGGAGGACCTGGAAACGGAAAGAGGAGAAGAGACGGCCGTGCTGACGGGCCTCAAACTCCGGCAGATGCTGCGGCCGAGGAGATGTCGGACATAAATGAAGCGAAGCGGACCGCAAGCGGATTGTGGAGACAACTGATGCGTTGATCTCTCATTTCACTTCTCCCGATGAAGAGATGTGTTTGAAGTTTCGGCGGGCGGTTTGGAAATCTCAACAGTTCAAATTAGGTTATGGCGATTGCAAAGGTACGGCTTCTTTGTAAGCTTTAAGATTAGTGCCATGAGGATGATCTTTTCTTTTAACGGGTGGGATGAGTTAGATGATTAGATCCCAAATTCTATATATATATATATTCATGTAATACTTAAAATCTTACATATTTGTCTTATGGACAATCAGAGTTAAGGATGTTTTAGAAATTTTACATAAATTTAAAATTAGTAAATATGATTAATAGCTTCTTAGTGTAAGTTTTGGATGGTTGTTAAATGGGAGGGGTGGAGAATCATGAAACTTCAATTAATATACATATGTTACATTAAATTTTATAGGGACGTTCACATTATTTTGAAATTTTTTAGGAATAAATATGTAAAAGTAATAATTAATGAGAAAAGAGAAGGGACCCGAATCAATCTTCCATTGCTACTCCCATTTTAGATTTTGTTCTTCAAATCTATTTGCAATGTCTGAAAAGAGAAGGGAGTAATTTAAGCTGCATGGAGGTCCATGAAGTTCTTATTTCTCCACTGCAAAGTCGCGCTCTGGCCCTCGACCTGTGCATTCAGGGGAAAGTAAATGCGTTGACATGAAGCTGATGGTCTTCTGCTTGATGATGAGAGAAACGAGTACGATGTGACGATACGTATAGGGTACAAGAGAAGCTCGTCGAACAAAATCCTCAAGATCGAGTCGGTGCAATGAAGATGAGGAGGGAAAATCTACCTTGGAGGAGGCAGCAGCATCGATGGTCGCAGAGGGGATAATTGCACTGGAGGAGGAAGCGTCGCCACCTGTGAGAATCCGGGAGGTAGCAGCGTCGTTGGTCGCAATGGAGGGGACAACTGTCCTGGAGGAGGAGGCATGGCTGCTTGTGAGAATCCAGGAGGGAGGATGGGAACAAAAGGATTTGTCGGCTGCCTTGGAGAAGACTGGAGCTGCGTTTGTTGGGGAGAAGAGGATCGCCACCGTGGAGGAGGAAGCAGCGTCATCGTTCGCCGCAGAGGAGGGGACAACTGCCGTGGAGGAGGAGGAAGCAGCGGCGTCGTTGGCCGCAGAGGAGGAGGCATGACCCCCCGTGAGAAGCCAGGAGGGAAGATAGCACGAAAAGGATTCGTCGGTCGCCTTGGAGAAGACAGTATTTGTGTCGGTCGCTGAGGAGCCGATGGCCACCGTGGAGGAGGAGGAGGAGGCATTGCCACCTGTGAGAAGCCAGGAGGGAACATAGCGACAAAAGGATTCATCGTCAGCCTTGGAGAAGGCAGCAGTTGTGTCGGTTGCTGAGAAGCCAATGGCCACTGTGGAGGAAGAGGAGGAGGCGTCGCTGGTCGCAGAGGAGGGGACGACTGCCATGGAGGAGGAGGCATGGCGACCTGTGAGAAGCACGGAGGGATCATAGGCAGAAACGAATTCGTCGATCGCCTTGGAGAAGGCAGCAGTTGTGTCAGTCGATGAGGAGCCTATGGCCACGGTGGATGAGGAGGAAGCAGCAGATACGGTAGTGGCAGAGGAGGGGACAACTACCCAGGAGAAGGAAGCACCGTCGTTGGAGGGGGAAGCGCCGTCGCTTGTTGGAGCTTGGAGGCGGGTCATGGAACGACGGGGTGGAGGTGTGGGATCATCCAACGAAGAGGAGTCGTCGGCTGCGACGGGGAAGGCAGAAGTTGGATTGGTCGCGGAAAGGGAGGAAGCGCCATCGCTGCTTCGAGATTTGAGGCGAATCTTGAAACGACGGGGTGGACTGGGAGAAGGAGACGAGTCGTCGGCTGCGACGGGGAAGGCAGAAGTTGGATTGGTCGCGGAAAGGGAGGAAGCGCCATCGCTGCTTCGAGATTTGAGGCGAATCTTGAAACGACGGGGTGGAGGGCTGGGAGAAGGAGACGAGTCGTCGGCTGCTACGGGAAAGACAGCAGCTGGAATGGTCGCGAAAGAGGAGGAAACGACGTCGCTGGTTCGAGATTGTTGGTGAATCTTGCGACGACAGGGTGATGATCTGGGAGAAGGTGCGGAGTCGCCGACTACATTGGTCGGGGCAGAGGAGGAGGCGCCGTCGCGGGCTCGAGATTTGCCGCGAAACTTGAAGGAAGGCGGCGGAAGCGGCCTCCTGACATTACCCTCGAGGACTTCGACGTCCCAAAGAAACCAGTCGGAGCTGTCGCCGGTGACGCGCTTCGAGTTGCTAACCATCACCGTGTTGCGCCACCCCGCGTCGGCAAAGAGAAAGTCTCCAAAGCAGCAACGGAAGAAGAAGCCGGAGCCGACGGGGAGCGGCTGCCATTCCACGCAGTCCACGTCGTGATTGCCGGTGACGAGTTGGAGGACAACCTTGTCGGTGAAGTGGTCGAGGCGGGGATGGCTCGCGAAGGGAACAGCAAGGTAGTGGCCAAGGCAGCTCCTGAGCCGGATCCGGGCCTCTTCTTCGCAGTCGCTGTCGTTGTGGACGAGTTCGACGGCCCACCGGGCACCGTCGGAGGAGCCATCTGGGTGCTGCCTCACGCGCCTCCCGTCCTCCTCCGCCACCAGGTACTTCTTGTGGTTGCTCTGCAGGCGGACCACTCTCACCTCGGTGAAGAACTCCATGGACGACTCCTGCGAACACAGATATCTTGAATTCTTGATCCCAAGAACCCTGCAAGCTTGTGAAGGGTAATGGATAAAAGTTGAGACGGTGGTGAAGGTACTGTTTGTGTTTGATAAGCCAATGACTCCACGTTGGTTCGGTTCAAATTGAGGGGTTTACAATGCCACCCGGTCTAAAGTGATGGTCTTCCAAACCCACAAGTGAAAATTATCTATGTAGACAGGTCGGATCAGAGCCGCCTACATTCATTTCTAGACGGCGCTTATCATTAATTATTTTTTTCTCACATCCTCTACCACCAACATATACATGTTTATATAACAACTAATATAAATATTAATTAATTTTTAGACTTTTCTTTATATATTTTTTTTTCAGACTTAAAATCACTTATCATCTATGAATATTGTCTTCGTATATTAAATTTAAGTTTTATATTAAATATCTTTTGTTGGGTTATGTGCACGTCTGATTAATATCTCTGCACGCATGTGTTGTTATATATTTTTTAATCAACGTAGGGATATTTGTCACATCTCAGATTTATAAAAAAAATAATAAATTAATATTTTATTATCTATAATTTATGTAATATTTTATTAGAAAAAAAATGATCACATGTTCTTGGTAAGGTCACAAGTCTATTCTACCAAAGATTCAAATCTATTATTCTGAAAATAAATATAAAATAAAACATATCAGTAATTATGTATAAACTTCAGAAAAATTATAAAAATAATCTTCTATATTCATGAAATATAAATAAATATCAATAATTTAATAAGAAATGATAATATATTGATTCATTATAAAACTTATGTTTAAAAAAATGATGATAATTTTTTACATAATAAATAAAATCATACATTAGCCACATATACCACATACATAATAGTTAGTTAACAAAGACATACATCACACCCGATGGTGCACTCTTCCAACAGTAGATGGAGAGGCATATTCCACGGGATAGATTCCTCCCAACAGCGGATGGAGATAATTCATATCGCACTCCCAATAGCGGATGGAGTGGTATCTCTCACCCGCACAAGTGGGGACATGTTCCTCCCAACAGCGGATGGAGGAACTATCTAACCATCATGTCTGATGACCCGTTAATCCCCGAAGGGAATCATCATACCTGCCCTCTACAGGGATACATAAATATTCATGATCATTCATTTACACTCATTCATTCACTCACGCATGCATCAAGAAATTAATATAATTAAATAATATGAGAGACCATACTTGATGTAAATTTGCTAGACTATGTTCATTGGTAGCTCTGTGATGGGCCCGTAGCTCCTTTCACATGTTGCACTTCGAATGTGAACTATTAACATAGTCACATCTACTACATAATCATATCAATATCATAAACTTAAGAAAATATATAATCAATAATCATTGTCAAATGACATCTTCATATAAAACCTTTAAATTAATCAAATCATAAAGGCATGAAATATCAATCTCTCGATAGTCCTCAATTAACCAAAACCCTAATTCGAATAGCTCAATTGACTTAAACCAAACTCAATTCGATTATGATCTAATAGAAACAATCTCAAATCCTTATAGAACCGATTTGGAATCATCCTATACTAGTCTAATCTAGATTTGATTGATCTCGATTAGATCAAGTAGGTTTGAACTAGTCAAGTTAGTCTAGAACTATCCTAAACTGATTTTAACCGTTCAAACCTATCTGATTTAGTCAATTAATGAGCTCAAACCAATAGAAAGAGAGGAAATTGGACTATGTCGTATAGTGCTAGCCTAAATCGAACCAACCCACCTAAGTCTTAGATGGGTCACATACGCTACATATGTTCGTTCCAAGTAATAGGTTGAATTGAGGTACAACGGGCTAGATAGAGGAGCAACGATGTGTCTAATGCTAATCACATAGTTGGGCAGGCTTAACTTCATGGACTAAGCTAAGCCTTATTCATAAGTTGAGCTGAGCATTACCATTGAACTAGGCTATGCTTGGTTCGTGAGTTGGTCGTACATAGACACATGAGTTGGGGTCGTATCTAACCACATGGACTGGGTCGCACCTAGTCACATGAGTTGGGACATATATAACCACATGGACTAGATCATACCTGGCCACATAAGTTGGGTCATGCCTGACCATATGGATTGGGTCGTACCTTATCACATGGGCAGGTTTCTACTTAATCACATGTGCTGGGTCATGCCTAGACACAATGGCTAGGTTGTACTTGACCACATGAGCTATGTCATATATGATCATATGAGTTTGATAACAGATAAGATTTTTCCAACTATAGCAATGTTGTAGCATCGCTGCAGCTTCCTCCTTTGTTGCAGCTTCCTCTTCTACTACACCTCTATTGTAGCTTTCTCCTCTACTG